TATTATATGATATTTTTATCTGAATAATTTATTACCTTATGTCATATTTTTACATTTTATTTTTACTATATATTCTAAGAACTAGAATTTTTTAAATATAAAATCATATTCATTACATATTATTTATCACGTATCTAATTTTGCTAAATGTTTTTTGAAAGATACAATATTATTACACACTTTTAAAAAAATAATTTTGATTTAGCAAATTTAAATTACGTTTTACAAATCTTTAAAAAGAAAATTTATGATATCAGTTATGATTATTACTGATGATAAATAGCAAACTGTTAAAAATAATTTTTGAAACTATTTTAAATTTATAGATTAATCATAATTAACTTATAAATAAATAATAAAATATTTTATATTATTTAGTATAGATGAGACTATTTTTAATTAAATAAAATTTTAATTATAAGAAAATAAGAAAATAAAAATTTTTATAATATAATAAAACAATATTAAAGAGTAAATAATTAAATTTAAATTTTTAAAATTTAAATATTTATTAAATTATAGTAGATTTAAATTTAAAATAAAAAATTTTTTTTTATTAAAAGTTATTTTTATTTAAATAATATTTTATATAATAATATTAATATAAAATATAATAATTATTATAATTAAATATTATTTATTATAAATTTATTTAATAAATATTAAAGTAAAATATAAAATAATAAAAAAATTATCTTTTTTTATTATTTTAATAAACCTTTATTTTTAATTTCTTTATATTTATTTTATTTAATATATAAGGGATTAGCATCTCTAGTTCAGTTAATAATAACTAAGCTTTTATTGTAGATTACACTGTGATAGCCATAAGTTCAGATCTCAGCTGAAATATAAAACTAGATGATTTTCATAAGAATTTTATATGTAACTAAACATGTAGGTATATAAACTAATATGTATTAGAAACTGGTAAATTGATTTATCAATCTATATTGATCATGCTTAAATACTAGGTTTGAAGAACAAGTAGATATAAATAAAGCTAGAGATCAACAGAAACTTGGCTTTCACTAATAGGTCTATAGTAAATACTATTTTACGTCTTCAAACTCAGAGCCCTTATACAAATAAGAAAATGATTAACCAGTAATTAGTAGATTTGAAGTGTATTATAGACTAACTTATACATTACAGCTGTAGGCTAAATTTTGTTATTACTAGAGTTAGAGATTAGATTCAATTTCTAGATAAGTTTAACGCTATGTATATAAAACCACTACATAAAAGAACCTATTTTCTCAATCTCAGTAGTTATCAATAAGATTTTCTTTATAAAGTATGGTAGTTTTATTGAATTTTTATTATGATATATGGTAGTTATCAATAGGGTAAAATCCTATAAGTGTTAGTAAAAATAGTGTATTATCTACTATAGCTGAAGTGAGCCTCTATCTAATCCTAATAATCTAAGTAGAAATCAGTTGATACAAAATATAAGATCAAAGCTAGTGACTATTTGACTATAATACTAATAATAATTTTTACTATGAAAATGTACATAACAAGATTATGCAATATTCATTCATATAAGACCTTAGGATTATGGGTAGGATATTTGTTAGAATCTACCTTAATATATCTTCTGATGTATATATATCTCTAAAAAAAAATTTTATTTAATATATAAAATTTAGTTAACTCTATAACTTAATATTATATATATTATTAGCAAAATAATTGTCTAATAAGAATGAAGTTATATGAATTATGTATTATGATAATCTTATTATATAAAATTCTAAAAATATTACAAATTCTATAAATTCTAAGAATACAAATCTTTTAAAACTTATTCCTTAAATTGTAAAGTAGGTAAATTTACCTAAATAAAAAAAAGTATTAATTTTTTATAAAATATAAAATACTAATTTAATAATATAATTATTATATATTTTTTATTAACTTTTTTTAAAAAATTTAAATTTATTTAAGAAGTTTTTTTTTTAATAATTCAATTTTAAAATTAAGTTTTAAAATATTTGTTATAATTATTTTTTAAAATATTTATTATAATTATTTTTTAAAAATTCTCTTAAATTTATATATTTGCAAACTAATTAAATTACTTATTACTAATAAAAATTATAAAATTTCTTAGTAAATTATAAAAAGTATAATAATTAAAGTTATTTTTCATAATAAATTTTGGAATATTCTATTATAATTAATATTATTAAAATTAACTTAATAAGTTTATCAAAGGTTAATAATAAAAATTTTTAAATAAAAATTTTTGGCTTATAAATAATTTTAAATTATTTATTATATAATTAATAAATAAAAGTTACCATAATATTATAAATAAAAATTTTAATTTTTCATAAAAATAAATCAGAAAAGAATTTATAGTAAATAAGCAGACAAATTTATTTATAAAACTCTATAATTTAAGAAATTATAATTCTAATTTCATGAATTAAATAAAATTTTAGAATACTTGATTTAATATTTATTATTAATATTTTACTTTTTATTATTTTTTTTATATTATTATATATTTTTAATTCATTTAGTTCATTTATATTTTAATTATTAAATTAGTTAGTTTATAGTATAACAATTAATTAGCTATAATAAGAGAAATTTTATATAAATAGATAAACCTTTTGCTTAAGTTATAAATTAATATTTTTATAAATATGAGATTTAATTTAATAAAGAATTAATTAAAACTTATATTTTTCTCCCTTTTTATATTTTCATATAATCTAACATAATCTCTATAATATTTATAATTGAGATTATCATCTAAATTCTTTAATTAAATTTATTTTGTAATATCATCTTTTAAGTCTTTATACTTGATATATTTATTAAGTTTAGTATATAAATTTAATAAAGTTAAAAGTTAGGCAAATCTTAATGTCTTAATCACAATTAGCAATTTTAAGTAAAAAATTAAAGAAGTAACTAACTTGAATTAAAAAATTCTACAATAATAATAATAAATTATCAGATTTTAATTATGTGAATTATATATTAATTTTATAATAAATGTTTTTTTTTATTATATATAAAAAAATTTTTTAAATAATAAAATATTTTATACTTTTTTTAAAATTAAAATATAAAAAAATGAACTATTAAGTATATAATGTGAAAAAATTATCTTAATTATACTAAATTAAGAATTATTTAACTTTAAATACATATTTTTTCTAATATAATAAATGATACTATTAAAAGATATAAAGAAACATATTTTACAAAACTTTAAAATATCTTAAATGCTTTAAAATGCTTTACTCAATATAATAATTAGATATTATAACATATTATTTATAATAATCAATTTTACTTCTCTTGATAATATCGCAAATATATTAAATTATAAGTTTAATACTACTTTACATTATAATATTATTAAAAATACTTTTATGATAAAGGTTTGATAGTTATGCTCTATATAAAAAAAATATTTTTAATTGAAAATAACAAAAATTAGATTTAAATAATGTAAAGAAAATGTTATTGAAATAAAAAATAAAAATAAATTATATATTCAAGATTTGCTTTTTTTGAATCAGATGATCATGTAATTTTTTAAAAATATTCTAGAAAAGCTTACAATGAAGATTGTATTTAATTTATAGTTAAATTTAAGAAAGAATTAATTAAAGTTTCTAAAATAACTCATATAAACTTATATATTTGATTTGCATGATTATGCATAATTATAAATTTTAGTTATATATAATAAATAAGTACTTTGAATTAAAGATATGTAAGATAATTTGACTCAAAACTTGACCTGATTTGATTCATTAGAAATACTAAAATCAATAATATTTTAGAATTATTTTAATTAGTATTGAATCAAACTTTTAGTTATAGTAAAAAAAAATATGAATTTTGAAAATTATATTAATGTTTTTATTAATTATTTTATATTTTGAGTTAATAATTATCCTGATTCTATATTCTAATAAGTTGAAGTATTTTATTATATATCTTTTATAATACTTAATAGATATTAATTATAATTAAGATTACTTATCTAAACTTATTTTAGATTTTGCAAAATATTTTCTTAATTTTTTACAAAGGATTTAATATAATTCACATTTTTATAAGCTTTGATATAGTTTTACTTTTTCAGAATTTCACAGATTTTTTATTAAGGTTTTAATATAATTTCACTAAATTTTACTTTATTCTATTTAAATAACTTGTAAAACCTCTAGGTTTTATCTAATAAAGTAACAAATTTTATTTAAAAAGTTTAAAATTATTTATAATCATTTAAATAAAATACTCACTAATTTCAAAGAAATTATTGCAACAAAGTAGAAACCCAATTTCACTTTTAGTTTATAATATCTTAGAGTATAAATTATTTATGTAACTATGATTCATTTCAGATTAAATAAATTTAAAGATTTCAGATCAGTCTAAAAGATAAGCTAATGTTAATATTTTTTTTTAAAAATTAAAAAAAAATTTTTTTAATTAGAAAAATTTTTACAATAGAACTTATCTCTCTAATTCAAGAATTCCAATATTAAAAACATAAATTCATATTAGAGCCTATTTCAAATGATCCTTATTAAAATAAAGGTAATTCCAAATATTATATATAATTCATCATTTTTAGAAATAAACTAAAATACAATAATAACTTAATCAATACTATGATAATATACTTATGACTAAATTTACATTTAATTGTCCTTGTCACGTCAGAATCTTATTATTCTCATGTGACTCAACATAATGGCAAAAAAAAAAATAAAAAATTTGGCAAACAGCGTTAAACTAAAATATTTCAACATTCTACATGCGCATCAAAAAAATTTCTCTTATAAAGAGCAATCGGCTTATCTACCCAATTATTTCCATTATTATCCATGGTTCTCTTTACAACTTAATAAATATTTTTACTCAAAATCTCTTGATCGTTTTAATCGTCAGAATTCAAAAAATCAGATATATCTTGCTTCATCTCTTTACTATTGTCAAGAGCAGAAGTCATTAGAAAAATGAAATGTAAAGCAGACAATCAAGAAATATTCATAAATATAACGCACCAATTATTCAACAATAATAGCATGTTTCGTATAATCGTTGGAATCCCACCAACACGCAACCATACTAATTTTCGTATTGGGTACTACAACTTTCGAGTTGGAGGAAAATACTTGAGACTTGAGGAATTATTCGCCGCCGAAGGACGAAATCTTGAACGTATCTGCGACCGGGACACCTTATTCTGTGAGGAACATTGCTCAAAAAAGCAAGATACTTTTGTTTTTCAGAAACAGGTACAGGGCATTATTCGCAAGGGGCATTTTTCATCCTTATAATAGACTGGTATTCGATTATCTTTTCCCAACGACATGCTAAAACGGTTCCATATGTCAAAGCTATTTATGCATATCTTTACTTAGATTCGAGAACAGCTTTCTATGGATCACACGCCCGCAAAGGCAGACAAGACCAGCACAACTATTAAAAGGAAATGGACGATACAATTTAGAATCCTAATAAAAAATAATCTTATATACTCTTGTTACTTACCCGTTAGTATGTCATTGATAACCATCCCGGTCTGTATTCGTCCTCAAATTGTTTGTATAAGTATTGTACTTGTTCCAGGGCTCTGAAAAGAATCATTAATGTCGAAAGGTGACATGAACATTAATAAAAATAAATTTATTTAGATGATGAATTATCCTTCCTTACCATTGGATGCAGGTTGGTTCCTTTATTTTATTAAATAAGATCACCTTCCAGTATGAATTACCATTTGTTCATGTTCGACCTATCATAAGAGATTGAGTGTTAGCATTGAATTATTTAATAATAATGGAATGTACATAATCAACTCCTCCTCTGGAGTCAATAGACCTTTATCAACAACAAAATAGGACGCCTGAATAGAGAACTTCTGGAGTGGTAACCAGCTCCAGTTATCAAAATTCAGTAATTCTCCTGAGTCAAGTCGATGGTCAACTAGGAGTTACCCTTCCTTTGCAAAATAAAAAAAACGTACCTTCTTTTTTTAACTCTGCAAAAGTATCCTGGTCCAACACCATTTTTTGTCGAGACCAGGTAATATCAAATCTGTTCAAGTGTATCGGTTCAAAATCCGCAGCTTTAATTATTTCTTTTTTTTTTAGTAGGAGGCAAGCCTCTAGAAATCCAAATAGATTAGAAGCTGAGATTTTTGCGAGTGAGACTTACCCTTGTAGCGGTTTAACTAGTTCGCTCATAGTTGATTAATGAAGACATTAATAGAGAATAATGGAGAGTTCGGTTATTTATACAAAATAGCACGCAAAGGATAGCACTCGATCTCATTTTTTCGTGATTACGCGTGGAGCATGGTTAAAATCCACTTATTGGTTTAATTTCACGTGATGATTGACATTTACTGGCCAATAAAATTGTTTAACTAAAAATTGGCATGAGCGAAATTCAATTTTGACCCCTGATGTTATACAATTATTTATATTAAGTTTATAGTACAACGTATATCAAAAATGATTAGTTATATGTAACATTAATTTTTTACTAAGTATTGACAAATTTAACATAATCTTTCTCTAGCATATTTACTTTGTTTACCATTTCCTGATCCAGTCTGATCTAGTGTTTGAAGTTTTTAACTATAGAACATATAAAACTAATATTTAACAAAATATAAAGTTAAGAGTTTTATATTTAAGAAGGAATAACTAGGGTTGGATCGGTCCGGTCCAAAAAGACCGGTCTTTCATCTTTCTTAGGACCGGACCGGTCCATAAGTTAATCCTAGGACCGGTCTTGCATTATTCGGTCCTACCAGTCTGGTCCGGTCCAAAATATTGTTTCCTTTTCTGTCCAGTCCTAAGACCGGTCTCAGTCCTACCAGCCCAGTCCGGTTCAAGATTTGTTTCCTTCTCAATCCAGATTGATTTACAAGAATGGTCCAAGGATCGGTATAGAACATATTAGAAATAAATATAAATCTGATATATACATATTTAATGATATATAAAAAGTATAATAATAATTGCATATGAAATGATTACTGCGCCTTTGTTAATCTCGTTATTTTTCCATTTCTATTTAAAACATTATCATTATAATAAATGTTAGGACAGGTTCAAGGACTTATAGACTGGTCCATTCTATAAGAGAGATGAAAACTGAATCAGATCAAACCAACTATAATTTTGTAATATTTTATAAATAAAATAAGTATTTTATAATATTAATCCTTAATTTAAAATAATATATGTTATAAATAATAAAGAATCGGTCTAGACCAGTTCTCAGAATAAGGACTGAGGACCGTAAGGACTGGTCTATTAACTGGTCTAAAACTGGTCTTCCAAGACCAATCTATTCTTACATAAATGCTTGTCAGTAATTTTAATCACACTACACTAGTCATTAGCATATTAATATATAATACAGCTCAACTCATCTTCAGTGTACGATCTGTTAAATAGGCAATCATGTGTGAGATTTTTTTATATTATCTTTGGGCAATCAAAGTAACTCTAGAATACATATATTGAACTGATATTATAATATCACCCTCAATAAAATAGGAGATAATTTTCTACTGCACTTTTTTCAGATTAACACATACATTTTTGAATATAGTCGTTGTACCTCTATCTGAAGAAAATGAATCCACTTTAGGCTTCAAAGCCTGAAATGTAATATTTCATAATATAGTTTTAGACTATTTACAATTATCTGAAATGTCAATTTGAGATATATATATTTCAGCTCCTTGAGTTGGTGATTGATTAAGAGCAAATCATCACACTTGATATAGTGCATTTCTCCTTTCTTTTCATTAAACATTCAATAAAGCTTATTTCTAAGCATGAGATTGAAAACCTCATTAGTTTTTTCCAAATTAGTATAGCTACAGATTAGTAAAGTAAAAGGCCATTGGAAATACTGGAATGATTGCAAAATTTTTGAGCATCTTTAGTTTCATTAATATGATATACAAGCCTTTGAATTAGCTCAAGTTTCTTTATTTTTATGACGAACTATTACTAATGATATTCTAAAATAATCTTGCAAATTTGTAGGATTACGTGATCTCAGAAAAATACTAAGAAAAATTCCTAAAGGGACCAAATAATTTTCTCTGATCTAACCTAAAGAATTACTCAAGAATCCTTTCTTGATAAGTATATGCTTAATAAAAGGAAAAGGTCACACATATAGGATACTGAAATAAGACATATTCCTTCTTGCTTACATATATCTTACTTTTTTTATCACATATTCTTTGCTCATCCAAATCTATTTTTTCTCTTCTATAAAACATTGTATTAAGATTATAGTATTAGGGGTCCTAAAATTCGAATGCAAAATGCAGTTTCTCATTATAACTATCTAATTGCATTCCATTCAAAAATGATAGTCTGCAAAATAGGAATTTCTTATATAGCAGATTCTCAAAAATGTATTGGCAATTTCTTTCACTAGTATAATAGTATAGCAGATACCATTTGAATTTTTTCATGATATATTTAATAGATATTTCTACTGATGTGCATCATTTTTATAAGACCAAAGATACACATCATAATCATTTATCCATCCAGTTCTTCCTAAATACTAACCATAACATCTTTGAGCATAACCAATGGCTTAGTTTAACTCACTATTAATAGGAGAAGTATGAATGAAATTTACAAATAATATACTTTGAGATGGATACTCAACTTTTTCTGAGTCAACTATTAACATGAGTTTTTTTTACATAAACCTATGATAAAGCATATTTATTATTACTTTCAAGATAAAAATAGCACTGCAACTGATTGCAACCGGTAACAAATAAGCATCATAGAGTTGCAATTAATTGCAACATTAATAAAAATTGAGTTGCAACTAGTTGCAACTAGTGATAAATAAGTATCACATGGTTGCAACTAATTGCAGTGCTATCTTTATTTTCAAGATAATATAAAACTGATTCATTCTTTATAATAATCACTTTTCAGATTTTATGAAGACTTAGACTTAATATTAGATCAGTTATCTGCCTTTGATTTTTTATACCCTTTTTTCATTTCACATTAGCAAGTAAGTAGCGAACAGTATCATCTTTCTTTAATGCTATTTCATCTTTTCTAATTAGACGCTTATATTTTATAGATGATTTAGATTCTACTCATTTTAATGTAATAGCTTTTACTAGCTCGAGTCTTCACTTTTCTAATCCTAGTTCTCAAATAAGATGTGTGAGATAATTATTTAGATAATTGATAATTATAGGCAAATACCTAATCCATACTTTTATCAATTTTGAATTAGGATATATAGATTTAATAGCATCTTAGATTTTATAAATTATTTTTGTGAATGTATTATTAAAAAATTCTGTAAAAACTACTCCTCAATAAGAATATGCATCAATCACTCAAATAGTAACATTATGCTTTTTCATTAATCAAAAAATCTTTCCCATAAATTCACGACCCTTATCACATTGTAGAAGCTCTGATCATACAAGAGGATTATTAGAATTATCATATTTTTTTCTGAATGCTTTAGTAACTTCTGAACTCTTCTTCAATATGAATAGAATAAAAACCTTATATTGGAAAGTACAGTCTATTACATTAAGTACTGCTATATATTTTTTACGCTTATAATGATCATGTATAAAGAATAGCAAATCACATTAGTATATGTAATTTAGGTAGGTTATTCAGTTATAGCTACATCTAGGAATATTCTTTGAAGGAGTTTTATGTATTTGGTATATATATTGCTATTCTAAAAAATTACAGCATTCTTTTAGACAGAAACGATGTCCTTCTTTTTTACATGCATCACTTGCCTTAAACATTTTCAGCAAGGATTTAAGATTAAAATAATAGCCAGTAAGGTGATAATATATATCACATAATATAATGTTTTTTTCAATTCTCTGGGCCTTATCAGGATCTATTTTGATTGTAGGAACACTTGCTTCTTTATTCATCCTTTTCTCATCTCTCAAAAAGATAGAACTATTTATAAAAAAAAGATAAAACAGTACTGATGTCTGAAAATTAAGTATATGAGAGTCAGATATAATTCTTAAAACGTAATTTATATCATAGTGAGCTAGAGATATCTCGATTATATAAAATAAAAGAGATCTCAGAGCAGGAGATATCTGATCTTAAAAGCTAAATAACAGCATTAGAAATAAAAATCCATAATCTGAAAATGATTGCAAAATGTAGATTGCTATTTATAACTTTTCGAGAAGATCAGATATCAGAAGAATTATCTAAGCTTTATAAAAAGATATTTTGGCTAAAAAATAGGATTAGTGATCTATCATAGCTTCATTGAGTAATATATCTGATCCCAAAGGGTAGTATTGTACAACAGACGATGTTCACAGATTTTTATGAAATAATATTATCTGTGTCTTGTGTCCGTCATTCACATCTGATAAATGTCCATCATTGTTCATTGTCATGTGAACATGTCGCTAATTTTAGAAATTATTTAGGACATTTTTTTATATCCCAGATAATTTAATTTTTTATCAGATCACCAGTCTAATCAAAAAGAAAAAATCTATAATAAATATGTTCAAATATATCTTTAACCTATTCAGGATAAATTTATATGTTCACTGGATATCAAAATTTAAGCCACATTTATTATAATGCTGCTTCCTACTTATTAACACAATACATTATTAGAACTGAAATAAAAGTTAATAAATATAATTTGAAAATATTTTGTAAATCATGTATAGAGGTATTAAGAAAAGAAAAAGGTGAAATATGGTTTTCAAATAAAAAAGATCGTATAATTCAACATTTTAAAAAATGTCCTAATTTTCTTAATAAAACAATACCAGAAGAGAGAGAAGAGATTTTTCAATTAAATATAACTCAAAACTTAAACAAAAGACCATGTAAATTTTAAAATTTAATTATTTATAATTAATTATTTAATTAACATTAAACTAATTTTTTTTATTTATAGTTTCAGATTTTATATCATCGCAACCTTTTTTATCATCATCAAATTCTTCTCATAAAATAACTGTTCAGTCTTCCTCATTTAGACCTATGGATAACTATATTGTTCGACCTTTATCTAAAGAAGATTTACAAAAATTTTATATACTATTACTTCGACTTACAGTTTCTTGTAGTTTTGCATTTTCATGAGTTAATAACCCTAAAGCAAAAAAATTATTTAACTTTTTAAATCCTTTTCTTAAGTTACCTGATCATCGTACTCTTGATGAT